AAGGATATTTTTGAACAGTGGACCCAGAAATTAATTTTAAGAGTGTCTGCCTCTATAGATAGACTGTGTCTAAAAGTTGTTATGGAAGAAGAACAAGTTCTACCTGACAAGATCGAGACATGGAAGTCAACTGGGTAACTTTGGACTGCTCATTCTTTCTCAGCCTTCAGAAGAAGGCAAACTGCTTCCAAAAATGCTGCCAAGAAACCTGCATGGAATTGTCCATATAGTCTCCAGAAGTCAAGTTTGACTGGTGGGGGAAAAAAAAGTAATAGGTAACTTTCTTAATTTCCAAGCATTATGTCACAAATATATGAGATAGCTCAGACCTCTTGCAGCTCATAATGATATGGCAAAACACATCTTGCAGCCAGATAATAATCAGATGAATATACCATATGTTTTCATTGAGCTTTAAGAAAATAATTTTAACATTGAGCAGACCTTTTAAAACACAGTACTATGAAACGCACACTGAAGTTAAGTTTAGGTCAGAGAGGTATATTTATTTAAGAATAAATAGATAAAATGGAAATCATCAGAGAGATTTAAAAAGTAAAGCATAATGTGTATCTTGTACTGTAACATAATAGACATTTATATTTTAAACTATTTTATGTGGGCCATGAGATTTAAATAAACATCCTTTATTAAACAGATCCAATGCTTATTAAAAGTATTAAGTGTACTTATTCACATCCAGTAATAAAACATGAGGGTCTTAAATGATTTACAACTGTAAGACTGCATATATTATTTATTCTTTCTAAAATACTTAGGCCAGTTTAAAACTTCATACCATTAACATTTGGTATAGAAAGTTGACATGCTGACAGCAGTGAATGGAAGAAATGCAATAGGAAAGATTACATCTTTCTGTTTGGGACAACCTCTTAAAATGTGTATCACATTTTATCCTCATTATCATGCTACCTAATATTATAAGAGGCAATGAGGAAATTATTATCAATGATTTAATGTAATTTTTTTTCTTCAATCAGGATATGGAAGGGGAAAATTCCCCATCACCCAATTTATGAATGGAGACCACACGATTTGCTTAAGCCAAGTTTACCTGAACGGTTAGATTTTCTGTTTATAGTAAGGATATACAGTTAATAAAGCAGAGGTCGGCACAAGTCAGCTTTTGCGGTTAGTTACTTCCTAGCTCCCATTTAAAAATACAAGTGCTGATTAAGATAACTCATGAGCCACCATCTGCAAACACCTAAGCAAGCTATTAGGGAGGTCTACTTGAGTTCAGGGGCCTTGGTAATTTGAAGATCTTGGTTTAGGTGTTGTTTTACTCATTGAACCTTCCCTTTGGAGCTGGAATTGGGAACCGATTCCAAAACTCCATAGTTCTATAAGGGGATAGAGGAACCATGGGTACATTATCACCCATCTCATCAAAGGTAAGTAGAGAAATATAGATACAAGTGATCAGTGGTGTCGGCAGCTTGGGAGTACAAATTTTGTGTAAAAAGTTTTTTTTTTAAGCAATCACAAGATAAGGAGGGCCATTCCAGAGTACAGCTTCTTTAAAGTTAAGCATACAAACCAACCATTTTGTGGGATTCAGGGGAACTCCTTAAAATGTCCTTGTATGAAAACATTCACGGGGGAAGATTCAGTCAGGAACCGGTGGACCTGTAAACCAAATTGCTTATATTCATTGACTGTATCTCAGAGATAGTATAGTATCTGCTCACCTGGTAGGAAGGGATAAACAACAATAAGGTCACCCAGATAGGTTTATAAAGAGCATTCCAATGTCATGCTGTAATTTACACTGTGTCTGCCTTTTTCTTTGTCTTGCCTTTGCAATTGGCCTACTACATTGCCAAGGTATATAAGCTGTGGTTCTGCTTTTGCTCAGGTCTGCTCAGCAGTCCACCAATGCTTTGCTGGGAGCTTGGTGTACGTTGTTGCTGTTTGCATGTTTAATAAATTTATATCTTCAAAGTGATTTGGCTGCTTTAGGTGAACCAGGTTTTGGCCACAACACATTCTTGAGACAGTTGTGTGGGGAGATTCCATGTACATGCCATAGATACCACTTTATGAAAACATCAACTTTGCTTAAGTATGCTTTTAACTGTATCCATGTCTCAGATCTGTATACATAGGTAGGACTAATGCACAGAATGTTCACATTTTGATTTCCACTGAAATGTTTTATTTTTTCTACAGGCACCAATTTAATTATCCTAAAATAGCAGTGGCTTGGCCAATCCTGCTATGTATTTCTGATTTTGACGCTGTTTTCCATTCTTCCATCAGCAACCCAAGGTATTTGAACTGATAATCTGTTTTATTTGGGCCCCACCGAGATAAACAGCACACTGTGACCCATCAGGTGTTAAGACTTTTGTTTTGTCAAAATATTCAGGCTTTATCAGTGTGTAATATTTGTGATGTCATGCAAAATGTCAGTGGCCTCTGTGTCACTGTTTGCAAATATGGCACTGTCATCTGCAAACATGAGATTAGTTATGTACCTGTACTGGGTTTCTTCATACTGATTGTTTATTTGTCACAATGAATTTTATCCTCCATGAATTGTCTGACGTAAAAATCTGGTGATAGCATCCTGGCCTGCTGTTGTCTATTCCTGTTGTTTCTGGAAGCATAGTTGGATAATTCTCATGAAGACATTTCCAATTAGTATGACATATGTTAGTATGTCCTGATAGTTTTTGCATTCACAGCTGTCACTTTTTTCAAAATAGGAATTATAATTGTTTGTTTCCATGTAATGGGGACCTTCTCAGAATGCCATATAAGTTGTAACAGTGAATGCAGCAAGCTGCACTGAAAGTAATAAATAAAAAACTTAAACTAGAGAAGACTGGGGAAGAGACTTGGTCAAATAATTTCATTTTATCAATTTATCTAGCAGCAGCTCTGAAGGAAGGGATTGGCATGTTGAGGCACAGGATTTAATAGAAAAAGAAAGAAAAAAAAATCGCAGCTTCCATTTGCATTCTCCTCTACCCTAGATGATATCCCCTTTTTAAAATTATAATCCAGCACAAACAAAAAAATTGTCTGAAGATGTCAAAAGCTGGCTTCCTATTCAGGCTGTGCAACTCTTCAGCAATAATTCAGAAAAGATTACTCTGAACTCATGAGAACATGAATATAGCATAGATCTGCAACTTTTTAAAGCAGCTGCTCCTTCTTGGAATCACATTTCTGTTCTCTGCAGCTGCCATGGGATCCTAGGAAAAGAAGTGGCTGCTTTAAAGAGTTGCAGGCAGGTGCTACATTCACACCTACACATTCTAAGACACCCTTTCCAAATCAAGTCCAAAGCAGTGAAAGCCTTACATCTTATATTGTTAACAAGAGAAGCAATGTTCTATTATTATTTTTATATGTCCTAGTTAGCAAACCTAGGTTGCTGAATTTATTATCTGCTTACAGTAACCACCTTTTAAAAAAAGTGCACCTCAGTATGATGATTATCTCTGTTTAATCTGATTTATTTTGTAAGATAAGTTGGTAATAAATAGATTCAACTATACTAGAAAGTCAGATTGCCAGAACTGTACTGAATTGTTATTTATTCTTCCTTTTGAAAAGTAAGTAACGTTCAATTCTATATTCTAATTTCACATTAGACTATCATATTGATTTGGGAATTGGAAGCTATTGCTGCAACCACAGACCCTGAAACAGTGTGTTGAGGAGCACATTATTTGCTGATTTCCCTCTCCAAGTTTCAAGACAGGGCCCTGATTTTGGAGGAAATCCAGCCTCAGAAATTTCTTCTGCCATCTGCCTTTCCCCCTTATGGACTTTTTGCTGAAAAAAGAG